CCCGTATATTCTGACCTAAATGTATCTCCGCCCCGATGTCAATGTGGCCTCACTTCTCTCTCCGGCACGCCCTCCACGACGAATCCTGCATTTAGCATTTTGGGTTCCGAGGGGCTTCCGAAAAGTACCAGATGGATGTGTTAGGATTTGTGTAGCTTGCTTAATTAGGGTCCCGTTTTGGACGGCAACCTTAAAACAAGGACCCCAAAAGGGATCCTATTTCAGAAAACCACCCATTTGGAGGCTGGATCCTTCTGATGCAGGTTTGGCATTCTAGGTTCCAAGATGCAGGGCTTACCTTGCACCCACAACCCTACATTAAACCCCAAACCCTAAACACAACCCTAAACCCCAAACCCTAAACACAACCCTAAGCCCTAAACCCTAAACACAACCCTAAATCCCAAACCCTAAAAAACTAACCCACGGCCCAAGCCGTAAACCTCACTGATGCCCACCCAGCCTCCGCCTCCCCAAGAAAAACTCCCACTCCTTAGATGCACCCTCAGTTTACAGACGCAAGATACACATTTTAGACTTAATAGGGCAAGAAGCCCCACCTAAAAGGCGCGCTGAAGCGCCTTAAGAAAAAATCTGAAGAACTTACAGACACCGCAGCACTACAAGGAAAAAACCCAACCAAAGACCCTAAAACCTAAACCCTAGACCCTAAACCCTGAACTCTAAACCCTAAACCCTGAACCCTAAACCCTAAGCCCTAAACCAAGCACCCTAAGCCCCCTCAACCCTAAACCCTAGAGAGCGGGCTGTCATGGAGCCTGGGTTTTTGCATTGTATGTGTTTTGGTTTTTAACACTATGCTAAACACGTATGCATGTGTGTATGTATGTATGTACGTATGTATGTATGTATGTATGTATGTATATATATATATAAGTGTCTCGGCCCGAATCTAGTGCCAACTTAACTCCCTCCTACATGGTTTCGTCGCCGGCATGGTTCGCTCTGTTGCAGCTTCTGATTCTTCTAATTCTGAGCCCTCAGACTGCTCCGAAGATTCAACGCCCGCATCTGAGACTTCGGAAAGGCGCGCAGCACGATTGCGTGCGTCAGAGGAGCAAGCGCAGCGTCACAGACACAATCTGCAAACATGGCTGCGACGACGCCTTGTGGTCGCCTTGTGCGAGTTGGAACTGGAAACCAAGGTGCGCGCTGAAGGCAAGGGACCCCGACAGGTCTCAGCACGAATGGCTTCCTTCACAAGGCAGTGTCGAGGACATCCCGCGGAGGGAGTGGTTGACTTCACTCTGCCACAGTTGGAACGCGGGGCAGCAGCGGCCTTGCGGCATGATGTCCAGGTGGTCACTCGACTTTACGACAGAGCCCTTCCTGAAAATGACCTCGCCTGGATCTACTCGCCCCAGGTCGGACGTCATGAGGATCCCAGCCGACAGTTGGTTGAACAGCGGCTGCAGCTTCTGTTGCTTGGTTCCCTGGCACCCCAGCTGTACACAGGGTCAGCAGACCAGTTTGTGCAATGGGCGGTGGTCAATGCAGGCGGATGTCTGTACCGGGACCATATCATGCTTCTGTGGCACCTTCTGCTGGACGAGGATCGACTCGCCTTCCAACAATGGTACTATGGTTTTCCCACGATTTCCTCAGCGACCTCTTCCCAAGACCTTCAAGAACCACGAGATGCACAGGCCAGAGGTTCCAATGATCCACTGCCAGCCCCTTGAAGTGGGCAACGACCGAGGGATTCAAAGTGAGATGGGCTGCCCTGGTCCCAAGTCCAGGGACGGTGTGAAAACTGTTGCTCAGCTGCATCCTGTTTATCTGAGCATTCCTGTGCAGCACAGTTTCTATTGCACCATGCCTGCAACAGTACACACCGTAGACATGAGGGTTGGGGGTAATTCTGGTCGTTGTCCCCCTGAAGCGACATTAGCTGGCCCTAACACCTTCCCGAATACCGCGAAGTTTAACGACCCTTTCTGTAGACAACCTACTAGCCAAGCTACAGGTTCCCCTTCCACCAACGCCAAGCTGTCCCAAACGGGAGAGAGCAGGCGCAGTATTCCGCATATGTTTCTTAGTGTAAGTCACATTGACCCCCAGCCTTCCTGTACCGTGCCACAGGAGCTCCTAGTGAGCCGAGAGGTCGTATGCAAGGTCTTGCGACCCAAGTCGTTCTATGCGGTGCTCGGACTCGCTGACGGACATGCAGTCCTGTTTATGCTTAGTCTACGATGTCTTCTTAGGATACTCTTAAGGCCCGCCAGAAACTGGATGTGCTTCCGAGTCCGCGCTGGATCGTATCGCAGACGGTGCTTGAGCCACGCGCACCAATTCACAAACCGCCTCAGACAGCGTCAGTGTATAGGTTGTAACGCACATGCCTACCCTGCCACCCGAGGTATGCCCAGGGCCCCCATAGCCTTCCCCTGCCCTTTTAGGGTACTTAGGCTCCTGGTTTTTGCGCTAAGCCTGTGGTGCCAGCCGTGTCCCGGTGGCTGCACACCGTCTGCCGTGACACCTGCGGCCCCAGCCCTGCCATCAAGACTGCATGTGCATGGGCAGGTGGCGACACGCTTAACTGCAGCTCGAAAGCGCTCTTTTTTAAGAGGGCTCAAATCCGTGCCATGCAGAATGGTAACACCATGTACCGAGGCAGACCCCACACTCCCCACAGTTTATCTCTGCAATATGTAGGCCCGACCCGTGCCCGTACTCGACATTGTCCTTCTTCCGAAATGTCAGGTTTCCTAAGAGTAGTGACCTGGAACTGCGGAGGATTACACACGAATCGTTTTGCAGAGCTGATGGCATGGCTTAATGCTCCGTCACCGGAAAGCCCGCACATTGCCTTAATTCAGGAGTGTCACTGGCCGCACAGCCTAGAGTTTAATAGTGCCAAATGGATCCATATCTATTCAGGTACTGGGCAGTCCCACGGGGGTGTCATGATCATCGTCAACCGTGAACTTGTGCGGCCGGACCAAGTACGATTTGTCGAGCTACGGCCTGGCAGGATGCTCCACGCCAGACTCGCTGTTGAGCCGCCCATAGATGTCCTCTGTGTATACCAACATGCATGGTCTACCTCAACCGACGGCCAGCAGCAAGGCATGTCCCGTTCCGACGTTCAGGCTGCTCTGCTTGACCGACGCCAACAAGTGTGGCACAAGATGCGCAGTTGGATTTCTTCAGTGCCAGAACGTAATACCCTCATAGTAGGCGGCGACATGAACTGTAGCCTCAACCCGTCACACCCCAATGTTGGACATGGCGTGTTGCCCCACAAGCACCAGCACCCGGATCAGTCAACCTTCCAACAGTTGGTGCTTTCCGCAGGGCTGATAGCAATGAATACTTGGGGTCGGGCTGGTTTACGATCGGGCACTTTTCTGCAGCTGCAGCAACATAGGGTCCAGATCGACTATCTCTTCACCCGACTGCCTTGCCACAACATTTCGATGAAGGCCACAGCGCTTCATACTGCACCGCTCGTCCATCCTACAGGGCTAAGACATGTGCCAGTTCAAGGTTGTGTGCAACATGTACGTCGGCCCCGAACCTCGCCCACAGCTGCCCTTAAGTCCCATCAAATCCAGCGGCAAATCCAAGACCATCCTGAGATTACTCCCATGTTCCAGGCCAAGGTTGCTGTTGCCTTGAGTAGTCAGCCCGACGGTAGGGTGGACATTGACGGCTGTCTGCGCACTGCTTGGCTGCAATGTACCGCCGAGCGGAAACGGTCCCAGGTACAGAGTACGCATGAGGCATTACCAGAAGTTTCATTGAAAAGGTACTGGCAAGCCAAACAGCAGGTCCGACAGACACAGCAACAGTCTGAACCGTTTATGGCACCACTGGTCTGGCATTTTGCCGATGCGTCACCAGGGACTGTTACCCGGCATTTTCGGCATGCAGTGCAGAAACTCCGACCCCTGTTTCGCTTGTGGAGAGCGGCCAGCCGTCTTCGGCGACTGGACAAAGCCCTGCGAAAGAGAGTTAAAGCACGTAAGGTTGCCCAAGTAGACTCCCTCATCTCCGAAGCACAGCAGTTGGACCATCGTGGTATCGGCGCTTTGCATTTAGTGGCTAGGCGTATTCGGCCCAGACAGCCTAAACGATCTATCCACTTTCGTAATGATGATGGGCTCCTCATGTCGGAACAGCAGGAGGTCCAGTGTCTCCGTGACTTCTTCTCCGACTTGTATCAGTCGCATACCTGCACGAAACATGACCATATCCTTGAACAAGCTGTTGAGATCACGGAACAGGAAGTTGCGGAGGCTGTCCGTGGATTGCCCGCCCGCAAAGCCTTGCCCCCAGGGCAATCCCCAGCTCCCTTGTGGCGACTGGCAGCCGAACAAGTCACACCGGTCCTTCATAGCAGCTTTCAGAAAAACCTACAGCCGGGTTGCCTGAATTTCCCTTCAAGATGGCATGACTCGCACTTAGCATTACTTGCTAAGCCAGGGAAACCCCCTAATTGCCCTGCCAATCTGCGTCCAATAAACTTACTACCCGCTGAATCCAAGGTTTTAGCGCGCATAGCGGCAAGGCAGCTTTATCCATACATAGTCCAGGCTGTGGAGGCGGTTCCCCAGTTCGCCTATGTGCTATCCAGACAATGCTCTGCTGCCATAGACCGTGTGCTGTCGCATTGCGCCAGAGTAAGGGCTTGTCTCCAATCCAAGCGTCGCACTGTCTGGGAGCCGTCGTCCAGTAATGCGCAGGTTCCAATTCAGGGAGGAATACAGCTTTCGCTTGATTTAGCCAAAGCGTATGACCGTCTTCCCAGACAGTTTTTGCGCAAAGCGTTGGAGTTTGTGCATGCGCCGGCCACATTGATCACTCTGATCCTATATATCCACGACAACGCCCGCATTGTCATCAACAGACATCAATCCCAAACCAAAGTGGGTATGGGTCGAGGGGTCAGGCAGGGGTGTGGTTTGTCGCCTTTGTTATGGATTGCCTTCACTCTCCTTATACACACTAAATTGAGTGAGTACGTTCCCCTCGAGGCGCAAACCAGCTATGCTGATGACTTTCATATCCAGTGGGAGTTCACCACTACCGCAGGTTTCCGGAGTGCCTGCTACACCATTCCGCGTATTTGGCACTGCTGGGTATGGAAGTCTCATTGGGCAAGACGGTTGTGCTTCTTGCTATGAAGGGCACGCAGGCACCGCAGCTTCTGAAAGTCTTTACCAGAAGATCCAAAAATGACCGAGTCTTTTATGTTCAAACCCCAACTGGCGTAACCCAACTGCCGCTGAAACGAGCACATGACTACTTGGGGGTCAAAATCAGCTACTATAATTTTGAGAAGCTGACTGCGCAGCATCGCCTCCGGTTGTCTTGGGTTGCCATGCACAGATTGCATGATCTGTTGAAGCACCGCCTTTTGCCGGTGCACAAGCGTGTCCTGTTATGGCAGTCATGCGTCTGGACGGTAGCCAGCTTTGGACTGACGGCTACAGGGATGGACCCCACACATGCCAGTCATTTTCACTCAGGGATTATGAAACAGTTGCGTACGGTTGCCAGGAGTCCCGCACACCTCTCCCATGAGACAAATGACCAAATGCTGCGGAGACTGTCCATTTTTGATCCTCTAGTCCGGTTAACGGATAGCTGTGTCAAGCGCATCCACATAGCTAGGCAAGCTGTAGGACACATACAGCCATCAAGAGTACATTAATGGTGGTCTCTGCTGCCGTCCAGCTTTCGACTGCCTGATGCGCCACAAGGCATGGGTGTCCTAACTGAAGTTACACAGATCCTTAGGATACAATGCCATTGCCCTGAATGTGGTCAATCTTTTTCGAGCGCCCATGCGTTGAAAGTTCACATAGGTAAGAGCCATCCTGAACTTCAGCCGCGTCATGAACCCAACCCGACCATCAAAAACCAAAGGCGCGATGAGTATAGACGGTATGCTGTCAAGGGCATGCCACAACGCAGGTTCTGTCTGAAGAAGTTCTATGGATGGCCCCAGTTCATGGGACATTTTCACCAATCAGCCTGTCCCATCCTTCATAGACCCACGACCCTGCCTCAACAGCAAGAGCCCCATGCTATACCCGCTTCCACCCAAGGTAGTCACCCACCCCTTGCAGAACCTGGGTCCACTGAAGCAGGGCAGCCCTCCCAGCCTAGTGCCGTGCCGGCAGTTTCCATAAAAGCTGCTGCAGTTCCACCGAGGGCGTTCGCGCCATGTAATGCAGAGGATGGAGCTCTTGCTCCAGAGGATCCCACTCCTTTGCTCCACAGACCGGCTTTGCAGTCCCTTGCAGCCAAAAGAGACATTAAGGCTTTGAGTGTTGCCATCAAGAATTCTGGACTACTTCATCACTGTCCTGAATGCTTCCAGTGGGCGTCAAGACCGTCATACCTGTCCAGGCATGCCACTAAGATGCATGCATCGATTTGTGAACATCAGGATGCAGTACAGCTTTGGGCCCAGAACCGGTTAGGTCTCAGCAAGCCTTGCCAGCGGTGTGGAGACAGCACCTTTACCCGCTCAGGTGCGCATCTTAAGTCTTGTCCTGCGCTTTGGATGGTAGGACATTTTCTTGTAAGGTTTAGCACCCTAGCTGAGCCCGGTCAGGATAAGATCCATGGCAGACTTTTCCGATGCGCTGCAAGAAGCCCGAGCGGAGTTCGACGCGTTCGGGGCATACATGCAGACACCGAGCGCCCTGGTGAGGAAGGACGAGGCCGACACAGCTCCCACCCCGACGCCCAGCCTCGGCAGCACCGAAGCGATGGAGACGGACAGGGAGGTCAAGCGCAATGCCGACCTGAACGAGGACAAGACGGCTGCACCGCCGCCGAAGTGGGCGAAGGGCGAAGCCAAGGGAGAAAAGGGCGAGAAGACCGAAGATGCTCCCACGGGCAAAGGGAGGGCGATGGAAGCGCCTCAGAAGTCGCCACCACCGGCGACCAACACCCCAGGACAGGGCTCTGCGGATCCCGGCCCTCAGCAGCGGACCAATCGGGGGCAGCCCCAACAGACCCCACAGGGTGGCTCGGCGGCCCGAACAGGACAACAGCACCAGCAGATGGCAGGCTGGAGGAGATCTGGGGGCTATCGACAATGGCCCAACAATCGCCAAGATCGCGACAACAGCAGCTGGGACGACAGGCAGGCAAAGGAGATCAAGGAGCTCAAGGAGGCCATGCGAGCTCTCAGCCGCCCGCCCGCCCGCCCGCCCGCCCGCCCGCCCGCCCGCCCGCCCTGACTCTGCGGCTAGAGGATGCAGTCGGGGTGATCCACCTCGACTGCGAATTCATCCTTTTCCTCCAAACGGAGGCAGCTGGCAACGAGTGGGCAATCACTCAGCAGTTGTACGAGACAGCAGTGCAGTGGCATCGGCAGAAAGAATCCAACCCGGAATCCCTCACGAATCCGATGCGGAACATTCTGCTCTACAACCTGTACAATGCCCTCCTCATGAAGCTGGAAGCCTTGGAAGTGGACAAGGAGCTGATGGATCGGGCGAAAGCCCGTGGGCTCATCGAGGGCACGACGTATGTATATTTGCAATGGGACGCAGCGACCCGCCAACATGTGAAGGCGATGATCCAGCCGGTGGAACACTCGGACATGATCCAGATGGTGAAAACCTTGAAGTACCTGGCGACGTTCCCAAATGTCGTCGGCAGGTTTCATGCTCTGAGGAAGATGGAGGACAACCTCAATGGGGACATCAGAACGGGACAGCAGAGTCCCACCAGCTATGGACAATCATGAGCAGGTTGCAGCGCAGCAGCATCTGGCACTTCATAGGTGCCACGATGAGGCCAGCCAAACCGGGCCGCTCGCCGTTGGCGCGATACGTGGACCGCCTGACGAGACAGTTTTAGGCCCGGATTGCATTACCGTACGCCAGCTCATGTTATCTAACCCCAGTAACCACTGCTACTTCAACTCTACTCTTTTAGCGTTGGGTTGGTTAGCTGCCCTCTCCCCACCAGGCATTACGGTGCCACATGTGGCCATGGGCCGTTTCCTGCGCTGGCTGTTTCGCTCCAGATCTGCACAGGCCTCGCATGCAGTCACATTGTGGTCCCTCAGACCGTGGCGCAGTCTGCTTGCCATGTGGCAAGAGCCGCATCAGCAGCACGACGCAGCAGAGTTTTTGCAGTTTCTCGCTCCTTTGCTCATACCATACCAGGAGCGTCAGTTGAGCTGTTGGCAAGCCCGTGAGCTTTCAGAGCGCAGCCACTTGCCCTCATCGCAAGCTGTAGCTCAGGTTGTTGATCAGGGAACTCTGTGGCCGATGACAGTTCCTGCACGTCTAGTCCCTTCGATGCAATCATCTGGAGAGGATAGGCAGCAATCCCCACCCAGCCTGCAATCTCTCATCATCCAGTGGCGAAATCAGGCTGCGAGGCACGCTCTGACGGCAACGCCGGATTGGCTGGTGCTTCAGGTGAGCCGTTTTGATGATGCGGGATGCAAGCTTGTAGAGCCCATAGGGTTTAGTGAAGCCGTGTACATCCCGTTCTTCACTGGAGAATCATTGGCCACATCTTCAGCCAGATATCGGGTTTCAGCTGTAATCTACCATCTAGGCCCGACCTTACTCTCCGGGCACTACAGGTCTGCATTGTGCCAAGCTGGCAGCATTCAGCACGTTACCGATGATGGTACACCAGCACGACAAGCCACGGCTAGGGATGTACAGCAGATCCAGTCTAATGTGTACTTGTTCTTCTTGCGGAAGTGCTGAGGTAGGAACAAGGCCAGGAGCTGATGGCAAGACATTTGTTGTTCGCATTTTGCTTTTTGTTATGGGTCACTAGTACATTAAATTTTCTGTGATTGTATGTATCATTCAGCCTCTGTGCGAAGTCTAGACCTGACCGTAAAGCCACAGTTGCCTCGCCCTTTTTGCAGTGGCCCTACGGGGCAGTTTAAAACTCGTCGAGCAGAGGCCCACCACCAGAGGGCGGTCACGCCAAGGTGGACCTTTGGAAATACTACTTATTGATCATATCGGTTGTACACTTGAGTGATGGTAATCTTATTGTATGCTGTCTCATGTCATAGCTCATACATCATAGATCATTCGGTGACCTTTGCAATAATATGCTAGCGAGTTCTCTTCAAGATCTTTTGGTGGAAGGGGCGCCAGAATCGTGGCGTGCAACCAATCGAGTTGCCGGCTTGCAAAGCTGCCCGCATCGCGAGGACCCTCTTCGCGGCGAGTGAATGTATATATATATATATGTGCTAATTTGTATATATATATATATAGAGAG